CGAGTGGATGACGGCACAGCACGCTGTACCGAGGGCCAGCTCCGAGGAAAGTTTGTACTCCATTTTGAATAAAATTTTAATGAGAAACCAATAGCAGAAATAGATACCCGCAGCCTTCCTGTCTCTGATATTTTGTTTTTAACTAGGGCCCCATATTTCACACATGTACAGAAAAATATATATCTTATTTTGGGTATCTAATTTTTTTTCTTAGAATACACATTGCTGTCTTTCTGTGTTTGTATATGTGTGTGTGTGTGTGTGCACCAAACACTTCAAATAGATAAATCTTAACAAAAGTAGAGCTGTGTAAAGTTGTAAAATCTAATCGTCATTAACCATTTTGAAGTCTGTTTCTTGAGTAAAAACCCACCACATTTTCCACTTAAGTCCTGAAGTAAGTCCCTCCGCGAGCCAGGAGGCAGTGTTTGCCGTTTTTCACAGCATGGGGCCAGGGCTGCCAGTCCTGGGCTCCAATGCCACCTCCCCCCCCACTTACCCCCCGCCCCCGCCCCCGCTGCTGGTGACCACCGGCAGATCGTTAGCCTTGTGCTGAGTTTCTGTTTCTTCCTCCATCACAGAAGGAGAATACTCCCTCACTGGGCTCTTGCGAGAGTCCAGTGTGATCATAAAGACTTTGCTAATTTTAGTGCTTTTCCTCCCATTATTGCCCTTTGCTATTTCACTCTTTCCCTCACTGAATGTTCAGACAGGAGGGTAGGTTGTTCTGCTTTGAAAATATTTTTAAAAATTGATGATGAATCCACACAGCTGAACGTGATGTCTTTGCCCATGAATTTCCAATTCATTCATTTTCACTCTAAGCCATTGTACTCTGAATATAGCTTAATTCATGTCAACTCTTTACTTTATAAAAATAAATTACTACTCTTCCTTTTCCCTCTTATACGCAGATATCTCTCAGACAAAAGAACAGACTTTGGGGCTGAGAAAGTGCCTCTGTAGCAGACGGGGTGGGTGATTACATTACAGATCCAGTGAGGCATTGGGTACTGACACCTATTGTTTTGTGCACACACATGAGTTCCTTGAGTCCATTTCACCATTTCGCGTCTCTTCCACAGGCTACACGATCCGACAGCCTCTTTCTCCACGTAGAGCAGTTTGAACCTGCTCCTTCAGCGAGACTCAGTTCATTACTGTTCTCCACAAAGCGTTCCTCGTTTGTTCCCAGTCCCACCTCTTCACCCACCCTCCATCAAAGAGACGGTTTCCTCAATCCTGCTCTCCTTTACCTCGAGCATCCTTCTGACGTGGCCCTTCTAAACATGGTCTTACTTGCTGTCTGTCTCTGTCCACTAGATGCTGGACCCCAGGGTCACTGCCATGAGCAGCGCCTCATCCTCTTGGAGGCAATCTCGTTTCTCACCACAGAGCTTTCCTGCCAGGTTGGCTCAGTCTCTCCTGCCCTGGCCCAGATCCAATTCTAGCAAGCCACATATGACCAGCACTGTACATATTTATATGTGAAGTAGGATATCATAGTGATTTGGTATCAAATTATCTGATTGTACATCCTAACTCCACCAACTTACCTTTGACTGATTACTCACTCTTTGATTTTGGGCAAGTTACTCCTCCGTGCCTCAGCTGTCTCAACTCTAATGAGAGAAGATAGCGTCTCCTTCTAGGGACATGGTAAAGTGTAAAAGGGACATCCATATGCTTAGAACAGAACCTGGCACCTAAAGCACTTAATCAATGTTAGTTCTCATTATAAATAGATAATAATAACTTAAATAGGAAAATCTAACAGTCAGCAGATCCAATTTCTCTATTTAATGTGTCTTAACAAAAGATGACCAACACAAATGGTGTTCATCCACTTACAGACAAGCTAATGCGGAGGCTCATAAAAGTTAAAATTGGTTGAGAACAGGCTCTGAAAGCTCTCTCCTGCATCAATTCTCCCTGAATCTCACCACATAAGAAACAGAGATTATGCATCTGCTGGGGAGGGCAAGTCCACACGATGCTAATTTTCTACTTAGCTTTCGAAATGTAAATGATTTCCTTTAGGACACAGTTCTGCAGGCCAGTACTAACTTGCATGACTCTCTCATATTACTTTCCATGCTTCTCTGAATTGGAACTAATTTTTTTAAAGCCTGGTTCAGTGTTTTAACCAAGCTTTTTCTCTAAAACACCGAATCGCCTTCACTGGTGTTAGATCACAGGGTCGAGGAAAGCACATCTGTGGACTCAGAGGGATTTTTCTTCAAAGAGTGAAGGGATTAACTTTTTCACTAATTGGCGAATTCATTTATTGTCCTTCAATTTCACATGTCATGCAATTGAATCTATTGGAGGTATATTACGTCAGTTCACCAAGGAATATGAATTTTTCTTGCTCGTTCATCTTTTTCAAGCATATTAATAATGAATGTCCAGTCACCAAAATTACAGCTCACTGGAGGTTATTTTTACCATGCTGAACTATTCTAGCAGTATATCTAGTCAAACTGGAAAATGGAAAATTTTGCTGTTAAGGGGATTTTTATGCACAGTTTAATAATTCAGCTACCTGCACCCGGGGCAAAATAAACCGCTAGCCAACTGCTTGTTAGCAAAGTCACAGCCAACAATATTATTTGAAACTTTAAGTGTCCCTCCAAATAAACGTTGGATTTGTTGGAAAGCAGGATTCGGAGCATTCTGGCAGGGTAGCTCCATCACCATATGGGCATTTTCTTCTTGGAGACCTATGGAAGTTCGGTAATTCGGCTTTTTTAGGGAGGAAGAAAACTAGGGAAGCACGTCCATTGTCGGTGGGCTACAGTTAGTTCCCCCACTCCCAGCCCCACAGCAGCTCTAGCCCACATGTTAGATGAGAAGGGTACTCCTTTAAGCTTCAAACACAGCTAAATAAATCATCTCAAACACCTATTTAGTAAGAATTCCAAACAGCTGGGCTGTCAGAATTGCACTTTATTAATTAATTGTTTTTAATTAGTTCATTTTTTTGAGCACGTATTTTGTGTGAGGCACTGTTCTAGTCGGTCAGCATACGTCAGTGAGTAAAATTGTCAAAGATCTCTGCCATTGTGGAGGTTGAGTTCCATTGTGGGAAAGCGGGTGGGGAAACAGACAATAAAAGACAGATTTAATAAGCAATTCTTTCGGTATGTTGGAAAGCAATATATGCTACAGGAAAAGAGGCTGAGGAAAAGCGACTCCAGAGTCGAGGAAGAGGCTGCAGCTTAGAGTGGCTTGGGGGAAACGGTAGTGCCACAGGAACGGTGGGCCACCCCCGGGCCGGACGTGGAGGAGCACGGAGAGCGAGGCTGTGTGTTTCTCTGTTTTCTGCACGGAAGTCCTGCCGAGGTACCAACACACGTCTCATTCTCCCCTTCTTTCACTGCTGGAGTCTCAGCGCTGGAGGAGAAGTAGATTATAAAGGAAATGATGCTCTCTGGGTTGTGGGCTCCCCTCACATCCTGCCTGACCCGAGCTCTCGGGGGCAGCGTATTTCCCATCAGGTGCCCCAAGTCACAGAGGATGGAGGAAGAAAGCATTGAAGGACACGTGCATTTCAATCAACCACCACTTATTAGTACCTTTCACTTGCCTGGAATGGCTTTATTCACTTAAGTGACACAAAGATGGGGAAGTTCTTATGGAGCCTTCAACTGTGTTGTAAGACAAACCCCAGATAAATTAATATCTGAAAGAAAACTAGGAGGTAATGCTAAGCAACTTCGTGTATACATCCGTGTGTGGAAGAGAAACACCGCTGCACCCTGGAGGCAGCCCAGGGCTTTCTGGAACGGGAGCCCACTTCGACTCTGCAGGCTTGAGTGTGGTGGCGACCCGACTGGAGGCGGCTGCCAAGGTCGCCAGCAGCCCACGAAGACGCAGAGGCAGAAAGGCCGGCGCTCCGGGAGAGTGAAGGGAGAGAAGTCAGGTCGAGGGACTTCCTGACCGCGAGCAAGTGGCCACCAGACTGATGTGAAGACCTCGGCACTGCGAAGTCTTACCCCAGGGTGGGGGGCACCTTGTGAGGAGGACCGCGCTCCTCCCACAGACGCGGAGCCGGACCCGGAGCCCAGGTAGAGACGTGAGTCCACCACCTGCACCTGAGACGGTGAAATGGAGGCTAGGGACAGTTATCTCCGAAGAACGGAAAGGTGCCTTCTTTGCTCGGTTGCGTGGACATATGCCACCAGTCTGAAAGTATGGCCTCTCTGCTTTCCGTCACTGTGTCACAGACTTGGGACTTGAGGCAGAGAAAGTGCAAACGCAGGGACCGAGCTGGAGAGCGGAAGGAAAGCTGGGAGGACCGGGCGCCCCAGGTCCCCGTGGACCGCTCCGCCCCAGGCCCGGGTGCGGGCAGGAAGACCCTCTGCGAGCCCGGTCTTGGCCCGAGAGGCGGGCGCGCGGGGCGGGCGGCACATCTCCTCCGGCGGCGCCTCCGCGCGGGAACCCGATCCGGGCGGAACGCGCGGTGTCCAGGCTGACGCCTCCTCCAGCTTCCCCCGCAGGTGCTGCCGACCCCACCGCGCGCAGCCGCCCTCCCCGCAGGTGCAGCAGATCCCCTCCGCGCACACTCGCTCCGCGCCCCCCGCAGGTGCGGCAGACCCTCTCCGCGCGCAGCCGTCCCCCTGCAGGTGCGGCAGACCCCCACCGCGCACACTCGCTCCGCCCGCCGCAGGTGTGGCAGACCCTCACTGAGCGCAGCATACACCCCACCCCACGGTGCGGCAGACCCCCACCGCGCCAGCATCCCCCAGCAGGTGCTGCCGACCCCACCGCGCGCAGCCGTCCCCCTGCAGGTGCGGCAGATCCCCACCGCGCACACCCGCCACCCCTCCCGCAGGTGCGGCAGACCCTCACTGTGAGCAGCAAGCCCCCACAGTTGCAACAGACCCCCACCGCGCGCGGCCGCCCCCCGGCGGCAGCCAAGACCCAGAGCCGGGATTCAGAGAGCCCCGCGGCGGAGCGCAGTGCGCATGCCCAGCGGCCGCCCTACCCGGCTGCGCCCGGCCCCGCGCCCGCCGCAGACGCCCGCCCAGCGCGGCTCGGCCGGCCCACCCTCCTCCCCTCCCGGGGGCGAGGCCGGAGCCTGTTCCTGAGGGCGCCACGCAGCCCCCGGCAGACCCGGCCCGGACCTGCGGAGGGACCCGGGGCCAGGGGACCCGCGGCGAGGCTCTCCTCTCGCCGACCCGCTCTGCCCGCGGAGGGGTCTTCTCCTCCACCTGTCGGGGCGAACGCCATGCGGGGGGCGGGCGGCGCCCCCGCGCTCTGCCTGCTGCTGAGCCTCCACGCCGCAGGTAAGGGTGCGGGCGGGAGCCGCGCCTGCCGGGAGCCGCGGGACGCCAGGCAGGGCCGGCTCGCGCAAGCCTCGGGGAGGCGAAGCAGGACAGTCCTGGCGAGGAAGGGGCGAGGGGTCGTGCACCTGTTGGAGGGCGGCGGCCGGAAACTTACGCTCAAATCAGCTCTCGGTTTTCCCTTGCCCTGTACGAATAGTAGGGCCGTGTTCCATGTGCACACAGCCTGCCTCCCCTCCCTCCCCTCCGTCGAGACTCCCTGATCCCGTTTCTCGGCTGTGCACTTGACCGCCAGCTTTCCGGGAGACCGGCGAGGCGCCCTGCGGGAGGCGCCCTCCGGCGCTGCAGCGGCTGCATCGGTGCGGCCTCCGTGTCTGGGAGAGCTCAGAGGGCGCCTGGCTGGGACCGGGGGGCCACATCTCCTCCCCGGAGATCAGGGTGCACGGCTCGCGTTAATGATGCCGCTCCCGGCTCCTGCTGGCCCGGTCTCTGGTCACGCGAATTTTCTAAACCAGTAAGAGGAAGGAAAGCTTTGAAACAGCACCGTCTCTCCCGTTTCAGCACCACGGCCAGCGTCCGACAGACCTACAGTGTCGAGGCTGACAAGCCGGTAGGACTGTCCCTGGGGCAGAGTTGATGAGGCCAAGCGTGACAGGGGCCTGCTCCCAAATGGAAATGTTCCTGGTGTCAGGACCATACCAGGTTTTGGTAGAAGCCAACCTTAGGAAGTCCCCAGGGAATTTCACATGCATGTCGCTACAGACCCTGCCTTTTGGATACATGCAGCCTGTATGTAACGCAAGGACTCACTGAACTGAAAGCCTTTATCATTTTTACACACGCATGAACCAGAATAGAATATGGCAGAGGGACTTTAGGAACCCTACTGCGACAGCAGTTGTCCATGCAGTAGTCCTGTAGCAACCGGAGATGGGGTGTTTTCCCTGAGTTTGCTTGTCATCCAATTACACATATTCATCCATTGCTTCAACTGACATCTACTGAGTATGTGCTATGTTCCGGGGGTAATGAATAAAAATAATGGTTGCAGAATTACAATTCTTGTGGTATCTTTTAAAAAGAGTGGGTGAGGATCTGGCCTGGTGGCATAGTGGTTAAATTCACCCACTCTGCTTGGGCGGCCTGGGGTTGGCAGTTCAGATCCCAGACACAGACTTCACACCGCTGGTCAAGCCATGCTGTGGCAGCATCCCACATAAAATAGAGGAAGATTGGCACAGATGTCAGCTCAGGGCCAATCTTCCTCACCCACACACACACAAAAAGAGTGGGCGAGTCTTTTTCTGTGTGTGCAGTAATGAAAATGAAGTATGGTACTTTCTTATTTCTAGCTATTGCTATTTTAATGTATTGTGAATCTCAAGTAATGTATAGGAACATTAAGGCTATAATTAAATACACACATTAATTGTTATAATTATGATATTATATTGTGGAATTTTCAATAGTTCTTTTGCACCTTTTGAAAACTAGAAAATAACTATGACTTGGTCATTAAATTATTTGCAAGCAGCTGTAGGGGATCCTTTTATTAGCACGTACAATTTTTCAATGTTGAAATATGACATGGAAATATACACATTGGGTTGAGTTTCATTTACATTATTGTTTAAAGATAGCACTGATACAAACACCCATTACCAAAAAAGAGACTCAATTTGTATCAAACTTAGGAATGATTTAGCTGACCTATCAAAAATATCAGTCTACTTATTTTTTAAAACTAATATGTAGACAATTCTCAAGACCACATTTAATATAGCTTGAGTAATTATAGCTTAAAATTTATAAATAAACTTAAAACTAAGCAGCAGGAAAACATTTCTAAATTTATTGTAGATGAACATTTGGGATGAAGAAAATAGAGGACTTTTGTTCATCAGAGGAAAACCCTAGGATTCTGTAGCCCTAGATTCTACCTGGAGCTCTGCCAAAGGGCGTATTACCAAAGCCACATCAGCTGGTCTCTACTTGGACTTCTTAATTTGCAAAAAAAAAAAGGATTATTCAACGAATGTGAATTTAATAAGTCAATGCAATGAAGGGATATCTTTTTCAGATTTCAGTTGCAAGATGCTAGGTAGTAATTAATGGCATTCATATTTAACATAGAGCTTTTGATAGGTGTTTTCCACAGCAGATTGCAAGTTTAATACGTGGTCGTCTTGCCAGTTTCATTTTGAATGCATTTTAATTTTAAACAGCAATTTGTGGGTCACAAGCTGTCATCAGATTAAAATTCATCACGGTTATCTAATAACGTTGTTAGAACTTTTCATTAGAGCTGAAACAAACACAAATTTCTTGATCTAAGCTCTTGCTGATTTGAGTTATAAGAAAGTGAGTGGGTGGGAGGACAAAGATCAAGAAGACGCTGATTTCTCTACTTGTTGAATGTCTGAGTTTGTTTCATTTACAGAAGGCTTTTCTCTCAGGACAGAAATGGTCTTCATAAAGAAGGGAAATTAATTCTATATATTCAGGTCTCTTTGACTAAAAGCTAATCGATCCATTTTGGTGATGCCCAGGGTACCAGCAACTGCTTTATGCTGGTGGAACTGAGGACGTGTTAGAACCCTTTAGGGTGGGGAGAAGTTGGCTCCAAGGATGCAAGTGCTCTTCTTAGCTATACTAGGAACTGTTGACTTTGATATAGTCATTCTCCTAATGATAAGGTAGCAAATTGTTTTCAACTTGAGTGCTATCTCCAGTTATTTGGTCGTGATTGCCTGAGTCACTAAGCGAAAAAAAAAAAAAAAAAAAAAGATTCTGACCAACCCTGAGTTCTGATTTATGCAGTAGGGAAAAGTACCGTGGTCTGTTTGTACTGCCTATGGGAACAAAACGGGGAAGCGGGGTACGGTGCTGTGTAATTAACATCTCTGGGTAAGGTATCGCTAACGAATTGCTGAGCCTGAAGCTTGTTAGAGAACTCAGCTCTGTCCACGGCAGCTGATTTTCATAGGTCTCCATAACAAGAAAAGTTATACTGATTGTCCATCCAACTGCTTGTGATACAGATGAGAAAACTAAGATTCAGTAAATGGTAGATAGGAAAGTATCTAATTTAAATAGTAAAGTGCCAGTTCACAGCATCATCAGGATGAAAACCCCGGGTTCAAGACCTGCAAGTGCATACTATATAAAATCACACACTGGCTCTAAAAGGTGAGGCCACCATTGAGTTAGTGGTACAGATCCTTTTTACTTAACTGTCCTTGTTCTTTACTCTTTCTGTGAACCAGTGTAACACTATAAACTCCATTTGAAAAGACCACTTCAGGAATATCCCAGAAGGCAGCTAACAGCCACCCCAATAATATGGACGGTGAAAAACATCATGTGGGACATCCACAGATAGCTTGTTTTCTTCAGCGTTTCTTCTCTTTCTTTGCTGAAAGAACTATATTCTGTTCCAGGTGATGATCTTTATTGGGTAGTATTTTCGTTGCAAGAGTGAAGGTCTTGGGATATCTTAAAAATTCTCGTGTGAAAGTTTTATTTTTCCTAGTGAATGTTCTGCTTAAGAAAACAGAACCTGAGTTCAATGCATTACTCTCTCCTCATGCTCTGAAAATTTCGTTCAAATTTCCACCTTGTTCTTCCTCTCGGCCTCTCTGGATGGCACAAAGACCGCCTTCAGTGTGCCTCCTGAAGACGCCTCTTCCTTCTCAGAGAAGAGCACAGTCCACTTCTCTAGTCTCTGAGAAGGAAGGGACCTGCGATGGGGCCAAGAGGATGAGGGAGCCATTTGTAGAAGCACCACCCCCAACGGAAAGGGTGGACTGATGGGAGAATGACGGCTATTGTTGAAGATTTTAAGGCATCTTTTATCGATGAAGAGTCTCTTAGAACTCCAGAATCTGCTTTTCCTGCTCAGAATCACTCAACACAGTCCTGGAGTGGCCCCGGTTCTACTGTGTTCTCTCCCCGTTACCTTTCTGGTATCATCTCTCAGGCTTTCCTCGTGTTTGTTTCTCTCCAGCCCCATTGGTCTCCTTTCTGTTCCAAGAAGATGCCGGGCACTTGCCCACCTCATGTGTTTCACTTTTTTCTTTGCCTGAAACACTTTCTTCAGGCAGCTCCATGGCTTAATCCCTCAATTTTAGATCTTTACTCAAATGTTACTTTCTCAGTGAGGCCCTCACTGACTATCCTATTTAAATTTCATCTTCCCCCGAATTCTCCAATACCCCATTCCTGCTTTGCTTTTTCTTCACCACCTACCATGCCAAATGTTTTACTTGTTTGTTTTGTTTATTGTGGTCCCCCTCTCCTCATTAAAATGTAAGCTCCTTCAGGCACCGATGTTTGTCTGTTTTGTTTCCTGCTGTATGTACTACAGACCCCGCCCAGCCTAGCATGGGGTCAGTGCCTGCATAAAAGCTGCTAAAGATTAAATAAATCCATTGAATAAATTAGAACAATGCAATGACTTTTCTGGTCTCTTCTTTTTGCCTTAAATTTCTTCTTGGCATTGATGCGAGACACGCCTAGTCAACTTAGTCACTTCCAGGATGGACTGGACAGAACTCATATATCCAAAACTTAAGTTGCTTCCCAGGAGCCTCGCATGCCCGGGGGACACACTGTCTCAAACAGCCTCTGCTGCCTTTGTGAACTGAAGGGCAACAAGTGATGTGCTTGCAAGACCAGAACCACCCACCAACTCAGTGGCAAAGCCCTTCGCACTGACTGCCAGATGCTGTACAGCCAAACGCCTTGCTCGTTGGCTGCTTTTCACTTCTTAGTGAAATGCCTTGTACGTATAGTAATGGTTATAGTCATATGAAAAGAATCATCCAGCTAATTTACCAGCAGGGTTTAAGGCACTAGCAGAAGCCCATGGTCGTCTTTGGCATTTGAGAGGCATAGGTATGTGTGTGGTGGACTCACCCATTCCCAGAACCATGGGGACTGCATTTCCCATGGGAGAGCACACCCTGACGCACCTTGTAGAAATTCCGGGATGCACTATCCAC